AATATTGTAACTGTCTAAAACGATTTATCAATGCTTCAATACTTTTGCTGCAGCAATGTACATTCCGCCTCTGTTAGTTTGAATAAAGTTATTCTGGTTCTGATTCCAAATCCTGTATTAGAGCCTATCGCCGGGTAATGCTAAAAGGGATTACCCAATTCGGTGCATGTGCTTCCTATACACTGAACAATAGGCCATGTGATACCAAAAGTCCCTCTGCAGCCTCTGTTCTTGCATTAACCCTAAAGTCGGCTTCACACTGGACAAGGAGGTGTCATGCTATGTCAGTCATAAGATAAGATAAGATAAGATAAGATGAGATAAGATAAGAAGTTCCTTATTGATCCCAATTTGGGAAATGTTTGCGTTCAATCATCGAGAGAGCTCTGGTCTGGCTGTTCACACCATAACATTTATCAGATCATTTCAATCATATATACGTTATCAGTATATATTATTATTATATATATTGAGTGTTTTCTTGCCTTTTTTGCTTTCGGCACAAGTAGAAAAAATACCAGACATGGCCAACGAAAGGACACGGGCAGCGGTACTCAGAAAATCACTGCACTTCTGCTTACAGTGAGACCACGGGGTCACTTTGCCCGAGACAGAGTGCAGCCATCTCCTTTGACCTTGGTCTTCTAAACGCAGACAGTACAGCTTTATCAGCTGCCATCCCAGCAGACAGCAATTGACCTATTGCTCTGAAAGAGACAGAGCTATTCAATTCTAAATCCCATTGGTGTATTCCTTAAACATCTACTAAAATGTTGCCCCGCCATTTTCCAGATAGTTAAAAATTCATATCATCGTTAGAATAGAGTATTGCATTCTTGAAGTGAAAGTGGATTTTAAGCCATTAGGGATGTAAGGTTCATAGTGAGTTATAAAAATAATATTACATTACCTTGGCTAGCAGAAGTATGAGTCTGTTATGTGATTAAAAAAATAAAATCTAATGTGGATTAAGTAGGGTGTGTCCTGGTAAGTCAGCGGGCTAAGGTACTGAACACGTGAAGGAAATGTCCAAATTTGAGCCCAAACCGACTACTTTGGTATTTTCAGTCTTCCTGACGCTAGATACCTCCACATGACTAATAAAATCAATGTGCCCAATCATAGTTAAAACAAAAATGAAAGAAGATGTTTAGACAAAAACACAGGCATAAAAAAGTGGTTGAAGGAACCTCTTTGTTTAGGTAAGCGCCCGTCTACAGGACAGGCGTCTGCCAGCGAGCCACACTGACCAACTGGAAAAAATCAGCAAGCTGCCTCCAGACAAACTGGTGTGGAAAGAGAACATTTTTTTTACCGAATGTTAGAAACTAAACGCAGCATGATAGACAGTCAGACAGACAGACAGTCAGAAACACTGATCTAGAAAACAAACACTGAAGCACTAAAACCAAAAAGCCTAATTTATTACATATTAAATGTATTAAATGCTTGAGAGGGGTTTATTATTTAAAATAGAGAAGGTCATACCAGGTCATTAAACACCTATTATTAACAGTTTCAGTCTGTCTGTCAGTCAGTCAAGCTATGTGTCTATGCCCTCCATTTAAATTATGGAGAATCAAAGGAAAGATATAAAGGGACATTAAGCATTACATTT